GCACTGGGGGTGGAGGGGTGCGCGGAGAGGTGACACCAACTGTGTGCTTACACCGTGTTGGCAACCTGAAGTCATAACTTGAGTATGAGCACACGAACGGAGTTGCAGCCTCTCATCTGGCTGGAGCCCGAACGCAGTTATGGTCTTGTATCTTTTGATCCCAAGTGTGTGTTAAAGAAATGCTAAAGGATGCAGTCAGAAACGTGTAGGCACCAGTGAGTGTTTCGTCAGCCTGTATTGCTGTGATGCAGGCACAAGGAGCTTGCTGTTCTTTCCCCTTTATGCCCGTGTCATGGCTTTGGACTAACAGACCGGTTTGTCTGTAATGCCCGAGGATAGATGTCAGACCGTATGGTCTGTTTTGCTTTTGTGTTTTGCTCTCAGGTGTGCTTGAGGAAGGGCTGTCATAGTTGCTTTTTAAATGTTATTTGCTTTTCAACTCACTCTTAATTTTCAAAACCCTGTGCATGTACACAAAAACCAATCAAGAATGATACCTTACCACTCATACAAAAATGTAATACCTTCATAGCCCAGGGTAAGAAGAAAATGGCAAGCATGCTGGCTGGCTGTCTTGCTGGATAGTGTAGGCGCTTCTGCTAGTGTTTTAAACTAGGGGATCAACTTTATTTTTATCCATGTTGATGTATTGCTTCCCCTCAAAGGGGTTGCCTGTTTTGGTCCCTTGTCTTATGCTGCTGGTTTTTCTGTAATTTTGATTTATTTTTTAAAACTTTTTTTTTTAACAGAAGAAAAATTAGAAATGGAACAGCTTGTTTTACAGATGAGTTCTAGAGACATGTGATGTTAGCTCTTTTGTGAGTAAGGAGGATTCAGGGCTTCTGCTTACTTTCTTTGAATATATTCATGGCTTCTAACAGAGGGACACGAATTGTTGATCATGAAGCCTGGGTGATGGATACTTGTGAAAACCATGGCCTAAGCCAGTTGTCTGAAGTTGCTCAGTATTTCTGTGGTAGAGCAATAGAAAAGAAAACAATTCTTTTCTTTTCTAGTTCACTATTCAGGGAATAAAATTATTCTTTTATCATTAGTTTGTGTCAGAAGACAAGGATATTCTAGATTACCTCAATCATCCAAGGACTGAAGCTGCATAATTCTTTCCAGAATATGAATATTTTACTTGGGGGGATGGGAAGGTCTTCAAGGACCTATTTAATGTATGTGACAAATATGTAATTTATAATTCTTTGTGTTTTAATTTCATTTTACTTACACTTACTTTCAACAGGAATTACAGTATGCTTCAGAGGTGAAGAGCAAGACTGTTTGGTTAATGAATTTAAGAAATGTAGGAACTCTGAATGACACAAGGTAAACTTTATTTTGAGAAATTCATATGAAAATGTTGTGGCTGCATTTTAAAATAATTTTTAGACATGGCAAGACTAGTCAACTAATACAGTGTTGATGTGATGATGTAAAGGAAAAGTACAGTTTTAGCAAAAAGCATTTTGGGTGAATTTGCAAAGTCACTTAGGAAATAATTCATATACCTAAACATAGGTGTCTAGCACCTTTTCATATAGGTCAGGGTGCATGAAATTTCTGCTTCCACTGAGAGGGTGTGACACTGTACCTGTCAGAGACTTTCCCTTCTGATGTAGCAGTTGGAGGCCCAATGAAGGATTGCACAGATGACTGAAACAGCTCTTACCATTAAGTACCTGAACCTGCACCCTGAACCAGTACATGAATCCTGCCTAATCCTAAGGCTTTCCGTTCTCCACACCCCTAGGTGTTTCTGTGGTGCTGCTCACGTAGGTGGCATAGAGTGTATTTCAGTAACTGGCTAGCAAGAAATTTCTACAATAATTATGTTCTCCCTCATCAAATGAAAGATACTGAGTCACCATAGTTCATAGTAACTGTTATATTGTCATACCCATTAGCAAAACCAGAAATTATTTCACTGAATTGTCTGTTGCTATAGAAATACCCACTTACACACTCAGCTAAAAGTTGACACTGGTAGGGATGGAAAAACTTATGTTATTTAATTATATTTGGTTAATTAAACTGATCTGGACTTTGTTCCCGCTAACTTTTTCTACTTACTTAAAGAGGGTAACAGAAGCAGTCTCACAAGTGCTGTAAGCCTTACATAATGGCTACCAGGGTGCTTTGAGACTCTCTGAAGAAGAAGGTAATTGTATCTATTAGTTCATAAGCACACTTTAAATAAAACCTAATTACCAGGCTGCATTGGTTCTCAACACCAGTTGAGAAGTCAAATGCTGTATGTAGACATGGCATGTGATACTGATGTTTCTAAACCACTGATAGCTACGGTGAGTTTCTTGGAGTCGAATGACGTATGCTTCTAAACAGGAGATGCTTGTCTCTATTCGTAGAGTTCAAAACGAAGTAATTTTTGCAGAAAGTCCTTTTGTGAAAATGCCTTATTTTGAAATCTAACTCTGTCCTCTTAGTACAAGGGGTCAGCATATCTAAGGAAGAAAGTACATATTCCTCAGTTAAGAGATCTCTACTACCAAAACTTCAAAATTTCGTCTCCATTTATAAGGTGGATTGTTGCCTACATTACCTTAAGAAAAAAGACTACTTGCTTTATATGATCATTTCATGGTTACTGTTTCATCCAGGGTCATGGCCTTGAGTATGTTTTTGTTACAGGGAAAATACTGTCTTCCATGTTTTTCCTCCTAATTATGGGCTTGTATGTCATCAGTAGCTTTTTAGATGAGACCACTTATGAAAAACTGGCTGAAGAAACACTGGACTCCTTAGCAGATTTCTTTGAGGACCTGACAGATAAGCCTTTTACCCCAGAAGATTATGATGTCTCTTTAGGGGTATGTTTTAAACGTTCTGTTACCACTGTAATGACTGTAGATTTTTTTTTTCTTTAAAGGATAATTTTGAATTAGTCATCTTAGTGCCAACACTTAAAATACAATTAGCTTTTGCAGCTTTATTGTTAAAATATGCCTGTTTATACTGACTGGAGCAACTATTCTGGTAAAAAAGTAACAATTGCTGTTGTATGATTTGACGATTAAAAATGTTTGGTGTATAGAGAAAGACATGATATAGAATAATAAATGAGCGCAAGAGGATACAGAAACCGGTTTCTAATTCTAAAATAATGGTCTGTACGTTTTTCTAAACTCACATAGAACTCTGACATCAGCAATCACTTTCCTCGTGGTGAATACTAGGACAGGCCTACATGGCATAGTATGTGCACATCATTGTGTAACTGGTAGAACAGTTTCTTTGATTGCCCTGAATACTGAGAAGCAGTGTTTGTCTTCACCAGGTAGAGTACATTTGTCCTGGCTTAACTGATAACAGCCTGTGGTGGAGGGAAGCAACATGAGGATGCAATGTTTGCATAGGTGGTTGCAAAAGTGAGCCTAGAGCATACATGGGGAGAAGGCTACTGTCACAGGAGACATTGGGTGGCTGCTAGCTTGATAATTGGAGCCTTTGATAGGTCAGCCGCTCAAATTCTTTTACAGGAGTGACAGGCTGAGCTTAAAAATGTCCATTTTATTTGAACAGGGAATTTATTAGTTTTATATACAGTTCCTGAAGTGGTTTGTATGTTATAGCCCTCTACATGACTTGGTGGAGAATGCAGTTTCTCTCTACACTGCCGTCTGCAACACAGGTCTTTCACTGCTGCATTTTTTTGAGGTCACATAACTGCTGCTCCCTCTTCGTGTTGTACCACAATGAGGTTGCTTTCTACTAGCCCTGTCAGTTAAGGTTTTATGCTCAAGGACATTGAAGCAGATGGTTTGGGTTGCAGTATGCAAAAAACCCTACCCAAAATCCTGTAGTTCTCAAACTTTCTCCTGTGTAACTTTGTCACCATAATGTTCATTCTTTATCTCTTATAGCTAGGATAGAAAATAATGTATTGGTAGTATGACTGTATTGCTGCCCTTAGCAAATACTATGTGTTGCTTTATTTAGAAAAGCAAAGAATTGTTTAACCATTACTGTTTAGGTTTAGTATGTTTTAGCGTATCAGCTTATTAGCCTCATTTAAAGAGCTCAAGACAAAAACTAGCAAAAAGGTTATAATTTACCTCTTTCATCTTCTTAGACACTTCATTACATGAAGGTGATGAATCGTGTCAGAATTCTATTTCCAGACACTGCAGAGTGGATTGTGTTTGACATGGAGCCACTGTAAGGCTCAAAAGGAATTATTTTTATATCCATCTTAATTTTTACCAGTACTCCTTTGTTGCATAGGCTGTATGATGGCATAATAACATGCTGTCGTTTCTGTTAAGAGTGGAAGGTTAAATAGCCCCCAGTTTACCAAATTCCCAACAAACATGGCTAGTGCTACAGCACGCCATAAGGTGGCGAACGTGATAAAGGCCTGTAATGCCAGTGAATTGTTATGAGCTTGATTTCTTCATGCAATTTATATCTTTGTGTTCAGGGGGAAAAATTGTCTTTTGAAGAATACTCTTGTTACCAGGGACTAACAAACATTAATGCAGTAGCGCAAAACACAGGCAGTAGTATTCCTTAAAATATGGTAAAAATATCTTGCAATTTAAGTTCTTTAAAACTCAAGTTGTATTTTCTAGTATTTCAAAAGCATTGCAGAATGTATGGGAAAACGTTTTAAATGCAGCATGAGAAATTAACTTTATTTAATTTGTAATGACAGGGCAGCAACACTCTCCCACAGCTGACAGACAGTGTTAGCAGTAGTATACATTTTTTGTTAACTGTTTGGAAACCTATTTACTTACAGTGTTTCTGCAGCACACAGTGTAACATCATGCTGAATACTTAATATAGCGCTAAAGAGCACATAGAAGAATAATGGAACCTTTATATTGCTGTTCAGGCCTAATCCCCCAACCTGCTCGTATTCTGCAGTATCTCTTCAGATCTAAGACTGCTGAGATACAGAAAAGTTTGAATTCTGACGAGCAGAGAAGCATCTTGTTGTCCTTCTTTGCACTAAACCAATATACCATTAAGGTAACTGGCAGGACACCCTGATGGCAATATTAACCAGGGGAGCCTTTTTCTTTTTTTTTTTTCATTGTATGGGTCACAGATATAAATCTCTTATCATGAACAGAAACAGCATGGAAACTCATGTAAAAAAATCAGACCTTGAGAGTGTTACTTCATGGCTGATGATCCTTGAGATAGATCAGAAACCAGTAACACTGAGTTACTTTGTGGGGGAAGGACGCTCTAAGGTGCTGCCTATGCTACAGAGTAAGTTTGCAGGCAATAGGTACTCATAAATGAAAGTGTATTTTTCCCCACAGTGGGTGTTTATACATAGCAAAGAGCCCTAGCAATGATAGTTGCTCTAGTAGTATCTTCTGACTAAAGCATGAAAAGTATGATTCCCTTAAAGAAGTGTTACTGTGCTAGAAGGCAGGAAGTATTTGAGTAACTGTAGGTTAAATATGACTAACCTATTACGTGAATCATCAAACTGTATTCTGTAGAGATACCCTTTTTAATTAGCATAATTCATATCATGTGTAGGTTAACTCTAGTCCAGTCCAAGTAGTGTAGTTCTTTCACTCTTAAAGCTAGGACAGAAATACTTTTGTCAGAGTTACTTATGCTTTTCAGATGCATTTGTGAACATGTCAGAGAGGTGTGAATCATGTTGTGGGTAAGAAATGTGAGTAAGAAAGAGAAAACAAATGCTCACTGGTATAATGGTCTAAAATGGAATATTTTCGAGAGGTTCAGGATATAGGCACTTAATCAGAATTATTGGAGAAATTATGTTTATTCACCGGGAAACTGTTACAGCTACAAAAGAAAAATTGAGTAAAATTGCATGGCTCAGTAATCTATCAGTGACACATATTAAAGCTTCTTGACTTTGAACCGCATGAGTTCTGCATTGTTCATGAATAGAAAAAGTTGTTATTGGATGATGTTTTAATCGTTGCAAAACGAACTAGCAGTCCTTTCAGGATGACACGTCAAAACTCAAGAGCGTTATTTAAGTAGTGCCGTTGTGAATGGTGCAAACACACTAAATCGAACTCTGACCAGAAGATTTAAAGTCTAGATAAGACTCAAAGATATGCTGGTTGTCCTGGGTATTAACACAAGTTTTTGTTGTGTTAATGATTATGTTAATGTGTTAATACCTAATGATCATTCTTCCAAGCTATTGTTTGGGAAATAGTTGGGAATGTGATACAGATATGTAAGTTTCTCTTTATCTGCTGCAGATGATGTAATTCTTGTCAAGTAACAGGATGCAAATTTTTAATTTTTCACTTATTTTCTTTGTGTTTTAAGAGTGGAGTTCTAACCGTTAAATTAGGTGGAGACATGGGAACGTATGTAATCAATAAGCAAACACCAAACCGGCAGATTTGGCTGTCCTCACCCACTAGGTAAGTTATGCGTTAGTTAGTTATGTAATGTCTGCAGTCTGGGTGGAAATGTACTTCCCCCTTTTTATACCACGGCACAGACTATGTAATATCCTTTTCATAAGTTACCCTTTTACTTACTATATTCTCAAAACATGATATATCTAAATGTTTGATAATTCGTTATAGAGGCTTGAGGCAACAGTGCAGTGAACTGACATACCTAAATTAATCCAGGAAATCTGTAATACAGAATTTTCATGCCCTGTTCCGGTCCAAAACCACTGTCTACAGGAATATAGCCTACTCATAGAAAAAATAAACAGCTGTGATTTAAAAAAAAATAAACCCAAAGCTTCTATTGGAAAAAGAGTGATGGTGATCTAAATCTCTCTTTGTATTTAAACAGGGTGGCTCCTTCCCCTTTAAGCTTGTGGGATTTCCTGCTTTATATGTTTTTGTGCTCTTCTAGTGCTTGTTTTTGTCAAGCATCTGCACGGTAGGGGAGCCTTGCCTAGCTGTGCTCTGTGCCTTCTCTAATGCTGTGTTTGGATCCATTCCAGGTTTTCTGGTTGGTTTCAGCAGGGAGGGCAGCCAGATATGTGGGAAAATGTTGTAGCTGTCTCCCCCCAAAATTTTCTGCCACTACCCCAGGGAAAGAAGTTAGGGAGTTAGTCAGTGTTACTGGTGAAGGAACCAGCTAGCTGGAAGGTATGAGCATTCCCAGTAAGTATGCAGGCGTACCTCTTGAATGTTGTTTAGGAAGAATGTATTGATTGCAAAACTGGGGCTGGTTTTGCAGTAGAAGAATAATGTAGTAGGGTTTGTGTCGAGGCCAGGGGGAGTGGGGGGGTGGGGGAAGCACAATGGAATTTAAGGTTGTAAGAGAAACAATTTTAATAGACATAAGATATACCTAAAGAAAAATCTAACTTTGCTTTAGTGTACTTATGTACTGGCTGGTGCACAGCATACTAGGTTAGTAATTTTTTTTCCACTAACTCCTCTCCTATCGTAGAATCCTTTTATAAATTAAATAATTTACTTCACAGGTACCTGACTTGCCTAGGCACAGGCCTAGCAAGCTAACGCACCTTTTTGTTTAGGTAGATGCAGGCTGTGTGTCGGAACTTGTTCCATGTATTTTGCAACAAGCATAATTTCAGAACCTTGATTCTGCTTAAGAATATAAGATTTTTTTATGACACTGACAAAAAGGTTTCCTCTATTTATGAAAACAAAAATTCTCAGAATTCCTATCAGTTTGGAGCCAACACTAGTTGAGCTAAGACATACAGGCTCCAGAATATGGAATTTGTGAAAAACTTCATTTTTTTGATTGCTCCAGTAGT